AAACCCATATATTGGGCCTTCGTGCTTCTGCAGCGAGCTCGGATTTAGCTGCATCTTCTGGAAGCAACTCCAATACAGGATATCTGGTGAACTACTAGTGTCAATGAACACTTTATTGACATTATGATTGCCTATATGAACCGTTGCCACAAAGGGATCTGCATGGGGCATCATAATGTCAGGCTCTCCCTCTGCTCGCTTGTAATCTGCCGGGCTGAATGTGATGGGCGTATTTTCCCATTCTGCTTCCTTAAACGGCCGTTTCAAGGGTCTGTTTTTGTTGACAGTCATCACCTGCCTGGCGTATGCCTTGCGGGCTCGGGCGCTTTGGCCCCCAGAGTGAACACCTCCTGATATCATGTTTATTGTACCTGAGGGTGGGGATATCTCAGCATAGCCTACCCCTTTCTTATCTTTTTGGTTCTAGGCAGCAGCTCTTTGCCCCTATCCCCTCCTGTTGAACGGATGCCCTCTGTATGCTCTCCCCTGATTAGAAGGATATTGGCTATCCTGATATACATTTTGCGCCCCGCCGAGCTGGTATCTCTGCCCTTGAGGTCGGTTATAACCCTGTACAAAATGAGTTTGACTGGGTTGCTGGGCGTGGGGCTTCTGAACATATCCTTCTAGCTTTCCATTGCGAGCCAGAAACTCCAGCTCGTCCTTCAAGTGTTGGCAGTCTTTAGTATTGTGGCCATACACACGATGGTAGTCACAATGTTTGCTCTTATCTGCTCTTGGGGAATCGTGCAACGGAGGCAGGGGTCTCCTAACCCAGTGTTGGATTTGTGCAAGGATTTGAGACCTTGGCAGGGTTAAAGGAATGTAGTTGGCATACTTTGGGAAGTCAGCGGGCTTCCCCCACTGCTCGCCGACTTTCTGTTTCTTCTTTTCTTCCCTTCTCGGTGGCTGCTCCTGGCTTTTGCTTTGCTTATCGTCAGCTCGTCGCTTGGACGACTGGAAGTCTTCTGATAATATGAAGCTAGCCGACCTGTCATTCACTTCATTCCAAGTCCTGGGTGGGTTCTCTAGTAGGTCGTCTAGAAACCGACCGCGCTTCAACCCATGCAACAATGCCGATAGACAGATGGTATTTGGGACGTTGTCAATGTCCAGAGTGGCTTTGTTGAATCGCTGCATGTAATCTCTCAGAGATTCCCCTTCCTTTTGATTAACTTGCATTAGCTCGGTTGCCGTGCGTTTGATCTCTCTCTAGCTCGCGAATTTGTTGGAGAATAGCTTGGCGAGCTGAGAGTATGAGTCTATAGAATGTCTGGGGAGCTTGTGATACTATCTTCTGGCTGTTGATTTCAGTGTTGCAGGGAACACTTTGCACATCATGGCATCATTTGCATTTTGGATCCTCATGATGGCCTGATAAGTGTGTAGATGTTCATCCGGATCGCCCGAGCCATCATATGTCTCCAGGTGGGGAATTTTGAATCCCTCTTGATACGGTTCTGCTGTGATGGATAAGTTCAGCGGAGCACTATCCAAATCCAAAGTCTGTTGGTGGGACCTGGGACTTTTCAGCTCGTCAATGGATTTCTGTACGTCCCGCAGCTGCCTTTCAAGGTCTGCGTTCTTTCTCATCAATTCTTCACTATGCTTGGACGAGCTGGGTTCGTTATTTATTTTTCCACTTCCCCTTGGCCGGGTTGGCACCACTATGTTGCTTAGAGCGGGGGAGTTTCGCGTTGCAACAACCGCAGCTGGTTGTGCATCCCTGTTCAGCAAAGGAATCAGGGGGTCATCAGGAATCAGACGGGCAAGGATTTTACCCATTGCCATTTCGAGAACTCTGGTTCTCTCTTCGAGCTCGGCTGTCCGAGCAGGTTCTGTTGACCTTTCAGGTCGTTCATGCTGTGAATTGCGTGGTCTAGAAGGTCTTTGTCTTGTTCCTGTTGGAACTTGGAACTGTTCAAGTTGGGTTGCATACCCCGTTGGTGTTCTTTCATCATCATCTGTTTCACTTAGGTGATCCTGTTCGGCTCCCCCTACAAAAAGATTTCTTGGCATTGGTCTAAAGTCATTCAGGCCGGGCTCAGATACGTGGGCGTCCTCCTGTAAAGGTACGGACCATTTTGCCTTTCAGCAGGTTAAGTCACACAACTTCTTGTTCGAGTTCCCACAGACGGCGCCAATGTTTCGGCAGCTTCGCAGTCCAACACTGTTGAAGTCCTCAGCTACTTCTACACCTGAAAATCCCGATATTGTTTCCTCGGGGAAAACACTCCGACGCTCAAGTCAACAATACTCAGTGTTCTAGAGAGAGACGCTCTCAAGGAGTAATTGCAGAGAGAGAAGCGTAGATATTAATTACCTTCTTCGGAGGTGGTTGGGGAGTATTTATAACCCCAAGTGCTGACATGTATCTGCACATGTAAGCCTCTCATTGGCCCACGTGGTGCTGCCCACATGGGTATGTCTCCTCCTCTTGGGCCTGTGGGTGCGTAGTTGGGCTTGTTGCGTGTGGCCCTAGGAGGGCGTTGGGCCTAATCCCAACAGTAGCTTCCCCTACTCTTTAAAGGTAGGAACTTGGCCGCTTAAGTGCGAATGGAATCTAAAATTCTAAACCTCTGTAGCCCTGGTATATAGGGAGGATGCGTCAGCTTCAAGAATGCAAACAACTTAATTCCAATATACCTAACAAGGTTCTTTTTGAAATTTCATGCGTGGTATATGTTCCTTTCTCTTTGATTCAAAGTCTCATATATTCGGGCATGAGAAGAACATGGAATAATAACCTAGTTCTAATGAAAATGACCAAAACCTAATTATAAAATTGATGCAAAAAGAATTTAAACTCACATTGAAATTGAGTGGAATCTATCCATATTCTAAATGTTGAGTTTACCTTTTCATTGTTGGTATATCTAATGATGGAGGGTGATAGAGATTGCAGTTGTCCTGTTTGGGTTAGGACCGGCTGGAAATTGGCACTTCCGGTTTTATTGCAACAGAGAGCACAACTGGCTCGCTATCTATATGTGTTGACCGTAGAGAATCATTTTTGTTAAGGGCTAATTTGGGTTATGACATATAATTAACATTATCCACGCAACTGGCTTGCCGAATATATAATGCGTTTTTTTAGTCTTAACTTGATTTTGATTTTAATTTGGACTGGTCCTAAACTCCTAATGCTACATTTTTAGAATTTTGTTATAGTTTTTTTTTAAACTAAGTTTTTTATATAAGAGTATTGTTTTATGTTAAACTGTTTTTACAGCTATGGTTTTTTTTTCACTATTATTTTGAAATATGTAATATGTATTAATTAAAATTATTAAAAATATCAATTAATTAATAATAATAAATTTACCTTTTTAAATAAGATAATATGTAAAAGAGATCTTTAAAAGGCATTTCCAAACAACGTCTCAAATACTTCTGAAATTATTCATTATATTATATGACCGTTGGAAGGAGAAAAAATTAATATTTCTTGCAAAACTAATTGTTGTGGGGGCAAAAAGGTAAAAAAAATAAGAAAAGAACATTATAAATTTTTTGGGTTATGACCAGATTTTGGATCGATCCAGCTCTAATACCAGGCCCAGTTTTGGAAATGATGGCCCGGGAGTGGCATGCTATTGCTATGTTCGTGGATCTTGGGCCTAACACGATGACGATGTATTGACGATGAACAATAGAATGGAGGGTGACACTTCTTCAATCTCTTCTCCTAAAATTCCGTATTACCCGTCTCCAACGTAGATATAAGACTTTTAAAAATAATACACTCACAATATTATATAATATTATAAATTTATAATATATTATTAAATAATTTATTTATAATATATATACATTTATTTATTTAATAATATATTATAATTAAAATTTTATAATTTGATATAATATTATAATTATAGCGTTCTCATATTACTTAAAAAAAAATTATAGTTTGTTTGGATTAAGGAGAGCCCCCCCCCTTCCCTTCCCTCTCCTCCCTTCATTTGATAAATGAATAAATTAAGAGAAAAAATAAAGCAAAGAGTTTCTTTTTTCCTCCTCCCCTTCTCTCTAATTCTTTTGATAATCAAATAAAGAAAATATTTTTCCTCTCCTTTATTTTCTTCAATTCAAATATATTGCTAAACTTTTAATTATAGATCACCTAGAGGGGTGACCATATATAATACCAAATATCCAATTGGCTAATTATCAAGGAATAACTCCTTAAGTTGGTCCTTGAAGTTTGATTGTTTCTCAATTAAACCCTTAAACTTAGTTTATAACTATTTAAACCCCTCACATCAGTACTTTAATATCGAGGAATAACTCCTTAAGTTGGTCCTTGGACTTTGATATTTATCTCAATTAAGCCGTTCAACTTAGTTTATGACTATTTAAAACCCTCTGCAGCATCGCATGGCACCAGTACTTCAATATCTTTAACTCCTTTGCCAATCATTTTCCTTATCGTACATGAGACAGCCAACGTGACACAGCTACAGCTACTCGTTTACTTTTAGCTACAACCTAAAAGAAAAAGTAATTAAGGAAAATTAAAATTTTTTAATAATTAAAATGTCAAGGATTATAATAAAAAATTAATAAATATTTAATA